TTTAAGGAATTTTATGTTGTACTGAATCAAAATTACTAATTTTGGTGATTTTCTTGGTTAGCATTCTCCGACTCCGTGATCATTTCTACATAGCAGATTATCTCTAGGATGCTTAAGACTTCTATAGAAAGTGGTTTCTAAAAGGGAATTTTAATGTTATTAGTAAAAGCAAGAGATAAATTTTCCTTTGAGAAAACTAAATGGTTTTCTTCCATCAATCCTATTGAGCGCATTCTCAAAAAAAAAAAAGAAAGGATGGACATCTAATAATGTCACTAACTGTACATTCAATTAGAATATCACAGATCACACTTTTTGGCCCCTTTGTCTAATTAAACAAAGAACACAAAAGCAAGGTTTTCAATAAATGCCAGTTGGAAGCACTGATCACAGCCCATATAACATTCCTAACTATATTCTGGAACTCAGTGCTCCTTGATGACACGGACTCTCACAGGAACAAAACCCTCATGACAAAGTAAGTCACAGCGTGTCTGAGAAAACCTATGGGAGGGCAGCAGAAGACAGGGCCAGAGCTGTGAGCTTTGTCAGGCTCAGTCAGCTCTGATGAATAGAGATGTACTCTAAGCCCAAGTAAAGGTGCCTTTACTGAGCAGGCACCACAGAGTAAGCCAATCCAGAGGGCAGAACCGGCCGTGCAGCTCAGCTCACTTCCCCTGCAGGCCCTGACTTCAGAAGTCTAACATGTGAGCTTGTTCATGTTTGTCCAAACCTTTTTATCATCATTAGGGCACTTCTTGATTCATTTTTGTCAGCTTTGCCGATCTAACTCAGCTTCTCAAATTTAAATGGGGAAGGGAGGGTTAAAAAACGGGAGAGTAAACCCAAGGCCATTCACTTGGCTATAGTCTCCAATTCATTTTTCAGCTCCATACAGGGTCTCACTCGCTAAGTTACTAGGTTGTCCACCCTAGGTTTGAATTTGAAATCCTTCTGTCTCATTCTCCCAGAAGCCTGTTATTACAGGCCTATAACCCATGACCAGCTCCAAATCTAAATTCTTAAAAAAGAAAACTGGCTTCAATTAACCTTTTCAAGCCAGAAAAACAAAACAACAACAACAAAAATAAATAAATAAATTTCACAGATTGCCATCCCATATTATTATTGGTTTAAAGAGCTAAATATTTTGCTAGCTAGTTCATCATTGTGACACAGGTACACAAATCTAGGGTGCCAAACAGCTCTATTTAACTGATATTCCTCCTTTCTTTTGCTTCTCAGTAAACATACATTGTCCTCCTCACCTGCAAAGCTAGCTTGAAATTTGCTTTTGTCTACTATATCCACAGATAACTTCAGTCAGTACACTCAAACAAATCAGACCTCTCAGTTTAGAAGTAAGCCAAATCAAATGAATATTTCCTTGGAGAACAAAGGCTTCCTAGTGGAATACATAATCCACACACCTTAAAAATGCCACCTTTAGAAATCTCTATTCCGTTAATAATTTAATTACTCTGCACTACAGTAACCTCCACTTACCCCTGTGGAGGTATGTGCTACAAATCTAGCAGTGTGCGGCAGAGGTGGCCTTACAAATTCTGATGGTTCAACTTAGCAGAACAGTCATGAGTATACTTCTGGTGGAAAAGAAAGCCAAAGATCTACCATCTAAGCTGGGAAATTTGAGAAGCTACAATGGGAGACTGTTCAAATGGTCTGGTCAGATCAGAGACATAAAGCAGGGCCTACAGAGGTGGCTGTTTTATATGCATGTACTCAGGTTCTAATGGAGTGTACTATACTGGCAGAGCCTAGATGACAGCCCAGGCTGTCACATAAAATGCAGCCTCTCACCTCATATGAAACCAGTTCATGAAATGTTGTCCAGGACCTCCGAGTTCAGTCACTTGCATTCCATGATTTGTAGACGATGTCTCCCCACCCCTACTTCTCACTCATGAGCTTCTGCCTTCTTTAATGCAGTCATCTTACCTTCTGACAATTCCGAACTGTAGTATATCCCATAAAGCCAACCACCCAGTTCTTTTTACAGTCCCAAATATGCCTTATTCTCTAATAACCACCATATAAATGGTTAGCTTTGAAATAAACAAAGAAATATCTCTCAGTTACAATCCCAAACCAACATTTTGCTTCATAACAGCTAAAATATGTAATTACTTAGCATTTTAAAGCTATTGGATTTTTCTTTCCAATTTTCATTGCTGCATTGACCATGTTAATTGCTACAGGCAAAACCAACTCCAATTTCTTTGTAAAATCTTGCAGAAAAACAAAGCGTATTTCTTCTGTTCATCTTTTCCCTTATTGCTTGGACAAACTTCAGGAAAAAAATTCTGATTCATATATTTAGTTATGTTTTATACTTTCAAACAGTATACAGAATCAAAAAAGGAAAAACTAACATTTCTTTAAGAAGCAAACATTTCATCATCCCTATTATTCTTAAACAAGTATGTACTGAATTCAGACCCTCAAACAAAAATGCAAACATCAATGTATAATTTAGAAAAAGGCATGTAAACATACTGAACCCTACATCCCACTTGTTTTTGCAGACAGCTTTAATGTGCTGTACTAGACCAATACTGACAGCAGAAGCTTCAGCTTTTATTGCTGTTAATACCCTGAGCAATTACTGTAACTCAGCAGGAACCTCTGCCCAGAACAGCAACGATCACAGTATGATCAACATTGTGTAAGAGGTGCTCTTCAAACATGAAGGTGCCTGCTAATGTGCGAAGAAACCGTCCAAGGGGCTGAGAATCTAACAGGTAAAAGAAAAATTTTTGCAATTTTATTTCACAGCTACAGATTTTCTACGGTGCACTGGCATGAGGTCTAGTAAAAATCTCTGTCTGTCTGTCTGTCTGTCTCTCTCTCTCTCTCTCTCTCTCTCTCTCTCTC